GTCGTTATAGTCAATGAATTACGTCGCATCGGTTGACCACAATTTATAGCGACAACAACAACAAACGCTGGCAAACATGAGAATCCGAAATCCGAAACAGACAAAAACCAACTGAAAACCAATACCAGCAACAAATAGCAGACTGCAAGCTGCAGCCACAAACGATGAAGGCAGCAGCAATAGCCAGCATTCGGTTGCTTTTACGATATGTTGCAACAAGCGCAACATGCAACAAAGAGCCCCCCAAGACTCATGCACCCAGTCAGTCGCTGCCTCTCCACTCTGCAATCGTCGTTGTCGTCGTCGTCGTCGTCTCGAGCTGACAGAATCGTAACGTTTTGCTGCAGTCGTAGTCGTGTGGTGGGCAGCTGCCACAAGTAGTTGGTGGCACTAGTTGGTTCCATCTGGTCGAACATAGAAATCGACACATTTTGCAAAAGTAAAAGTTACCAGCAACCTATGTGTAGCATGCACTTGTATATGTCTACTATATTTTAGCCGCAACAATAAATTCTTCTTCATGCAAATTTGCTCTCATATTGAAATGCTAATTGAACAAGTTAGCGCAATGCTGTTACTGAATGTTTCTGACACCTTTTATATAAGCGAGGCATATAATTGGCTGGGAGCAAAGTTTTTACAACCATTCTGGCCGAAGCCTGGCCAAAAGACTAGGGAAGTAAGTCAAAGAGGGTGGCCGCTAAATCACATACTTTTTTCAAAGAGAATTTTTTAAAACAAATAATTAATCAAACATACTATTTCTATTGTTTGTTAGGGTCCTTTGTTCTTATGGCCAAGTCCTTCAGAAAAATTTTAGCAGACGCCATTTACTAGAACAATTTTGCTGGCACAATATTTTAACCACAAGATTGGAATTTTAGATGTAAATTGCAGTTCATTTTCAAATATTATTATTTTAATCAACTACTTAGTAATTGTTTCTTTCTTGTACATTTTATAATATCGTTATTAATTTCATTTCTTGTTCGTTATAAATCGAAAACTTATTTTATGCTTAATTTGATAAATAATCAAAAAGCTGATATTGACAAATATTTCATTTTTCGCCATTCTCAAGAGATTTGTTTTGGTAGCGTCTGAAAGCTTGATACGAACGCTTGATTGAATAAATAAATATATATTTTACGCGTATTATTGGTAACTCTCTGAGACTGTCCTTTTAAAACCACTTAAATAAGGCTTAACACAATGAGCCGGGTCTCTTTAAACAGCATTTATAATTAGAATAAATGTAAAGAAAATTGTCATTGTTAGAAGAAAATCCTTCAAAGCTTACCAATATGTGTAAGCAGCTTAAGGCCACGTCGCTATAGCTTAGACTAACATAGCTTATCTGTAATTTTAATTACCTTTAAGCTGTACATAAATAAATGAATTAATAGCTAAATAAAAAATGTGTAAGCACTTGAATCTGTTTCGCATCACAACAGCTCGCTCTTAAAATAAAAATCAAATTACCTAAATGGACTAAATTAAATTATATAACCAGTTCCAAATTTAAAAATATTAATTACTGCTACAAAACAATAATAAACAATACAAACAAACAATACTATTAAACAAATAATTCAGTTTCTATGTACAAGTAAGTTTTGAATTTCTTCATATAATTAAAAAAAATTACACATTAAAACAACCAACGACCGCTGCTACCGTCTACTAGTCTACCGTTCTCTTTTAAATTATTCTCTTATTCATTTTTTTCAAACAAAGCCACTCAAATAACGGCATTTCAGTTTCCACTTTTCAAAATGAGAAATTCTTTTGTTTGTTTTTAAACAAAATCGCGACCACTTACTCGTATATTATTGTTGAAAGTTATACAATGTTTGGCAATGACATAATTTAGCTAAAATCAGATTGAATTCTTTTATTATTTCTTTCGAAGAGCCCCACACAATAGAATATGCAAATTCACTTTTTTGTGCGTCATAAGAAACACGTATAGTGTTTAGCAGATATGTATGTATCGCTTGATCTTATGCGAAACATTATTAGTTAGCTGGAGTTGGCTGCAATTGCCAAATCTCAATGCTGTTTGATATACAATATAATCTCTCATATCTGTGCGACCCACAAAGGCCTTTCACTTTTGTGGCACAGCAAATCACACGCATGACAGCAGGCAGCCAAGCCAGGCAGAGTCGCCACAAGTCGAGAGCGCTGGAGAGCTGAGGAGCTGGAGAGCCAATCGGGCAGCTACTTACGCCTGTCTGTCAGGCCAGATTTGAATTAGAAAATGCACCAATCTGGCGGCGGCTCATGAAACACGAGACCAGCAACGAGCCGCTATTATGATTATGTGATGCAGTTGCAACATTTGCCGCAACCGACACTTCCTTGAAGTAAGCAAATACTTGTATGCCATGTGGCATGTATGGAATGCGTGTGCCACAACTAGCCGCCCTTATCAAATTTCCCCCGCTTTGTTTGTGGCCGGAAATGTGTCCATTAACACAAAATAACAGTAGACTCCAAGAAATTTCAGGGATTTCTTCGCTGTTATTTGAGTAACTTGTGCGGAGCCTGTGTTGCTGTCACAATTACGCAGAAATTGGGAAATTGAGAGATCGAAAGCATATCCAAGCTGTCAATGTTGCGGTCATGTGCCACTTACACAACTGTGGCTTTATATATCTCAACGAGGGTGTGGTGTTTAGTTTTGGGGAGATGAAAAGGACTGCTAGTACTTCGACCCAAATTTAAAGCAAGCACACAAATTCTTATCTGACTGCATTAAAGAAAGAGGTTGCTCGTATTAGTCCTTGCTTGATTATACTTTTGTAAAGACGAAAATACTTTTAGTCAGCCCATCAGATAAAGATTTGTGTTATTATGTTATTTGATCTTTTATTATTTAACTATTTTAATTAGAATTTATTATATCATATCATACCTCTTCTTTATCTGTTTTTTGCTATTTTTTCTTCTTTTTCCCTTTTTTTATGTCTAATAACGTCTCTGACTAGTCTCTGCTGTGAATCGGAGCATAGCTGGCCGTTTGGAAAATAAAATTCCCCCACCAAGTCGGATTCGTTATTAAACAATTTTGTTATTTTTAATGGCTTTTTTATGCTTTAGTTTTATTTAGTTTAGGCTCTCTATTATATTAATTATTCTTTATTACACCGCCAGCGTTGTTTGTCGATGAAATAAATAAATAAATAAAAGAACAAATAGTGATTATTCCGATCCCTTAATCAGCTCTAGTATTTTCTACTGGAATTTGTAAAACATAGACTCCTTTCCTTCTTTTAATAAAATAGCTTTAAATTCAGTTAAAGGCAGGTTGAAATAGCAGCTTAGCCTGCAGTGTGATGGTCTTCGAATTGTAAATTGAAATTAAAAATGAAACGCCTGGTAAGAAATGGAAAGACTTGGGAAATAGTTCTAGAGACATCCTGTTCGCTGTTTTGTTGCTCTCTTTCCTTATCAAAAGTATGATTGATCCATTGCCAAAATATCCCTTTCTAAAAGTTATGCCTCATTTGAAAACTGCTAAACAACAAGTTGAAAAAAATAAATAAATGCTTTGCCATTGTTAGCCAAACATTTTATCGCACCTCCCGCATCAAAACAGAGAGACGAGCTCCATAAAAACATAACACGTTCTATCAAAGACTAATGTAGGAAGACTACTGGCATTGACTTAATGTTCGATATCTGTTGAAGGCAATTTTATATAATTTATATATTAAATGCATGTTTTTCCCCCAGCAGTCCAACAGCCAGCAAACTAATTGGGATTGGATCAGGTTCCGAAACCAGAACCACACCCAAAGCATACGAGTATATTCTAATCAAATTAGACAGGCATTTGACCTTTCTGTTGTATTCAAATAAAAATTATAAACAAACAACAGCAGCAGCAGCAACAGCAGCTGGCTATAAAACACAATTAATGACAATTTACGTAATACAATTTTAGGCAATGTATTAAAATAAGTTCGCCATCCATAACGGTAAAAACAGATACTTAATACAATAAATTCGATCAAGATGTGGTAATAAATTAAAGCAAATATTATTATTGCACGAATTGGCGATTATGGAGATGCGCTGCAGTTAATGTCGATTCTGTATTTTTTGTCAATTTCTTAAAGACAATATATCATTGAAAATAAATTAAAGTCATTTCTATATATTTTTTTTAAATTTTTAATGCCAATATTTCAACTGTTTAAGGCGCACACAATTCTTTCACTTAATTAGCGCCTTTCAATGCTACTGCTGGGGCTGTGGTTACCAATACAGAGAAACTGAGCCCGGACCCGGCATTAGTATGGGTGTGCGCTCTGCTTGTAGTGGTAAGCGCTTCCGCTAGCTGCTTGGAAGCCACACGCACACAGCTGCAAAAAGGCCGAGCACCAACACCGATGCAAATGGCGCAAAAGCTTTTGAGCGTGCGCTCTCATTGCGCCAGGGCGCTTAATTGCGCCAATCGAAGAGCTTTTGCGCCGGCGCTTTAACGTCGAGCGCATCGACTCTGGCGTTTTCAGTTTCGTTTTGACACAAAAACTCTTTGGGGGTATAAAAGCGCGCCGCTGACCACAAACAGCATCCAGTCAAAGGTTTGGAATCGCTAGTGATTCTACAATCCTGCACAGTTTTTGCATTAAGTTTTCGATTTGTTTGTTTGTAAGTGTCAGTTTGTTTATGCAACAAGACATACATACTCGTATCTCTAAAAGTCTGCCCCAAAGTGCTGTGCCTTATATTTGAGAAACATTTTTCAAATAATCCAAATATCTGTGTTTCAAATTGTGTTTTAAATCAAGGCCCCAAATGTGCGGGCTACCATTACTTTGTTTGTTTTTTTATTTTCCATTTCAATTTAAAAACGAAAATATAAACTTTATTCAGTTGGCCCTTTTTTAATTTATAATACGATTGAATATTATTATAATACGTTTTTCTAATTTCTGCATTTACAGCTTCGGCGTGTTGACGTTTGGCAAACCAAAACACACACCACAATGAAAGTATTCGTAAGTATTCATATCATATCAATAAAAAAGAATTAAGTCTGTGAACATTATTGTGAAAAGTGAAGAATTGTTAGAAGTGTGCAATCAATGAGTGTGGGAAAACTATATATATATAGTATGTACTCGTAATTATATTGATTGTTCATAACTCCGTTTATAGCAATGTAGAACTCCCACGCAAATTAAAAAACAGTCTTGAACTAGTTTTGTATGCCAATATAGAAACATGTTGAGAGTGCTTGCAATAATATTATAATATTCCGAAGAATTTCATAATTAATTTAATAATTAACTTGCATTACAAAGCAAGTTCTCAGTTGCAGGTCATTAAATGAAAATAACAGAAACGAACACATTGATCTTCCAAGAACTCTATCAAAGCAATTACATAAAAATTTTGCAGATACTTTAGAAAGGTTAACAAATTTAAATGCTCTATATAATTGTTCTATTATTTGTTCTCTTTAATTACACCAAAAAAGAGCCTTCTTTTTAGCAACCTTCTCAATGTTTTAATTGTTGTCAGACCGAATTCCCATTTATTTACAAGCTTATTCCAATAATTGGCTCCACTTCCTTGAACTTCAAGTTCCTCCATTAGCCGGCAAATTGCCTGACAATGCGTAACAAAACAAAAATCCACAGTCAAATTAAATTAAATGACAAACTTCAACTTGAGGCAGAAGAAAAACAAAACTCAAAACGCTGCTAATAAAAACAATTTTCAAAACGTTGCATTGGCGCGTTCATAAATTACGTGCCGGCACGTTTAAAACGGCAACCATAATCAAACTGAGGCAGAAATGAACAATTAAAATGGCTATAGACAAATAAAATGGGCGCAAAATGCACAACAACAACAACAACAGCAATCGACTCAACTCGATTCAACTGGACTCAGAAAAAAGCGCTCAAGAGCTGCGCATGCGTGCAGCGCATTTTGTAATCCATTTTGTTGCCACTGTCAACGAACGCTTGCGGAAAATATCAATGGGCCGAGAGTGGGCGTTTGGTGGTCCGGGCGTGGCAAGACAACTCATAATTATTGAGGCATATGGAGCGGTCGCTTGCGCTTGCATTGCGCATGTGCGGCACGTTCGAATTTCACTTGACCATTTGAATGGGAAGCGAGACGATGCGACGCGACGCGACAATTGCGCGCCAACATTTCTGTTACCATGGTCTTCGTCATCGTCATCAACATCATTATCCGCGGTAGCCAATTGGACGCAATAATTCAGTCACTTTCTATTTATTTGTGCGATTAGGTAATCGACACACCCATATGGCAAGTACGGCCAAGTGCTACTTTTTAAATGATACCGCTTAATTATTTTTAACAAATGCAACTTGAATTTGGAAAGGTGGGGAAACAAATTGCAACAGTGGCACAAAATAATGTACATACACTATATAAACAAATAAATATACAAACTATAAGTGCACATTGAAGAGTCGAAATTTAGAAAGACAGACAATACTTATCTATCGGTATATCATTCAGTTAATTGCAGTTGTTACTGCATTTGTCAGCCTTCTAATTTGCATATCATTTCATTTAATTTCGTTCACAGTTCTGCCTTGCCGCGCTGCTCGTGGCTTCTGCCTGCGCTGGCGATACTGCCGAGAAGGTGCCGTTGGAGAAGAAACTGGACAAGCGTGGTCTGCTCGATCTGGGCTATGGCTATGGACACGCCGGCCTGGATGTTGGCCATTTGGGACATGGTGCCGTCATTGGCTCTGGCTATGGCCTGACAGCTCCTGGACATGGCATTGCCCTTGGCCATTCGGGACCTGGCATTGCCGTCGGCCATTCCGGACACGGCATTGCCCTTGGCCATTCGGGACCTGGCATTGCCATTGGACACAGCGGACCCGCCGTTGCCGTCCAACATCAGCCCTACATTATTAGCAAATCGGCTGATGTGCACAAGACCATCACCATTACCAAGGGTATTCCGGTGCCCGTGCATGTGGATCGCCCCTACCCGGTGGTGCATGAGAAGCGTGTACCTGTCGAGGTGAAAGTGCCCGTTCCACAGCCCTACGAAGTCATCAAGAAGGTGCCCGTTTCCGTTAAGGAGTACGTTAAAGTGCCCGTGCATGTACCACAGCCCTACGAGGTCGTACGCCACGTCAAGGTGAGTTTATTTATGACTTTATTGGTTGTTCATTTTATTTTATTTTATAATATTCATTGATTAATTGCTTATGCATTTGGTTTTATTTTATTTGATCGCATTCGATAGGTGCCCATCCATGTGCCTGTCGACCGCCCCGTGCATGTTGAGGTGCCAAGACCATACCCAGTGCCCGTGGAGAAGCCATACCCCGTCTACGTTGAGAAGCAAGTCAAGGTGGAGGTGCCTGTGCGTGTCGATCGCCCATACCCAGTTCCCGTCGATCGTCCCTATCCCGTCAAGGTGCCAGTACCAGTGCCTCAGCCCTATGAGGTCATCAAGAAGGTAACCTACCCCGTCGATCGTCCGGTGCCAGTGCCGGTCAAGGTCTATGTGGATCGTCCATATCCAGTGCCAGTGGCCAGGCCTGTGCCTGTGCACGTTTCCGTGCCAGTGGTCTCCGGACACTCAGTGATCAAGCACGCACCCGCCGTCTCTGTGAGCAGCTATCCCGTGAGCAGCCTGGGCATCTCATCAATTGGCCACGACGCCAGCGTTTATGCCGACCATAGCGGCTACCACAAGTAGAGCGGCGGCTGCGAAGGCGGGCTGGTTTTTGGAGCATGCGGACTTTCAAGAAATGAGCAAAAATTTAGCAATATTGTGTAATTCACTCTCCCAACTCTCTCACATGGTCCCCACGCCTCCAATTGTTGCCCCCCAACCAACAAATTCTTTAATTTCACGAAGTTTTGCAACTTCTGCCACCCTGCCACTCTATTAGCTCATAAGGAAAACTCAAGTATGCAAGGAAGCAACAACAATAAGAACAAAACTCTTTTGTAAATTATTTCAAAACAAGAACAAGAAACGTATGCAAATCATGCTTAGGATAAATGGCAGCTAAGTGTTTATAAAAGGAATGTCCAAATTTTATAAACATTCTAGTTGTTTGTCTTTATCAGTGAACGTCTTCGTCATACAACAAATACAAAACAAACAAAAAAAAGGAAATGTGAAAATGTCTTAAGAAATAAAAAAATGTTTAAAAATTATCCAATTAGTCTTTGTTTTTCCATTTTCCCTGCGTTCTTAAAGCGAAGCTGTTTAAAATTGTTTTGAAATTGTTGCGTGCAATCGTATATGCCTGTAAATATTTTAAATTGTAACTCTCTAGCAATTTTGTATGCAAATATTTTGTAAATAAATTGTAATAAGTGTTAGAATTCAATGCGTTGGTTCTTCTATCTGGGGACATTTAAGGGACATTTCATTTCATTTCGGGCCATCTATGAATACATTATTGATGATTTCCGTTGATTTATAAGTCCTTCCTGACAATCACAAAGTCACTCTGCAGAGAATAATGGATATATGCATGGAGTGCTTTAAGCTGATCGACAACTACATTAATTTTTGCATGCCTGTAAATGTAATCTCATTACTACGGAATACAATAATGTTTCAAGAGGAGATTAGAAAATGCTACTAAAATTTACCGAAGACGGTGATTTGTCCGATCGATTTTTAAAAGGTAAATAGTTTTATTTTCTTGACCAGCTAGACTTGGCTTATAATTTTCAGAAAGTCACACTCCCACTTTATTAATTATTTTAAAGATTCCATAATTGTTGGATTATATGAAATAAGAGTGCAATTAATATAAATGAAGCTTACTTAGGTATACTAGTTTTCATCCATCGTGAACGTGCGACAGTCTTCTCTGGGATCGTCTTAAATATTCGCCAATAGATCAGGCCCTTCACTCTGATATGTGGACAAACCTTTCAAACCTTTTCAGCTTGAACCCACTACCGTTGGTGAACAAAATCCCTTCTTACTTATTGCTGCGATCAACGACACAAAATATCATTTGATCTTAGGTTGACGATGGCATTGGTAAGAAGTCGGAATTTCTTATTGGGTCTTTATACAGAATCTAAGCTCCCCTTTTCTGAATTTTCCTTTACAGAACTAGCATTGTATTTTCGAGGTACTTAAAAGGCAAAGTTCCACTTTCCGGAGTCTGCTGCACTAACCACTGCAATGTTAAGACAGATCCTTAGCGTTATTTATAACTATCGACACTGTTCCCTTATCCAGCTGGATAAACCCCGCCAAAAATATGATTAAATCGAAAAATTAAAGCTAAATGTTGTTCCTAAGAAACCTAAATATCTCTAAGTTTATATAAAATATTAATATTTGTATCGTTGTTCAAATAAAAATCAAAACAGATAGTTTTTCTACATTATTATTTACTTTAATTATTACATTAATAAGTTTAAAAGTAAATTGCAATTACATTAATAAGTTTAAAAGTAAATTGCAATTACATTTAAGACTTCGACTATCTGCCCATTGACTGTCTCATAATTAAACGATATTGTCACAATCTATAAAAAATAAAATATATGTTCTAAAAAACAGTCTGTAATTCGTCTCTGACATAAGGTTTTATATATTGTTTTGAATTTGAAAACCATCTTAATTGATTAAATCCATTGCTGTTACCAGTTTCGAAAAAATCGTGTCAACAATATCTGCGGTCAATGAATTAACACCAATTATCGTGCAATTTCAATTAATTAAACGGATCCGTTAATTTATTAAGTTGAAATTATAAATAAATATATTGAGATATGGACTCATTTGCACATCATCAGTGGACAAGGAGCCTGCCCAGATGACTGCCTGACATCATTTCGTTGTTGTTTACGATTCGCAAAAAGAAGCCAAACAAAAGTTCAATCCTCTCACTTATCAAGCTGACCCACATTCGAGAAGCTGCCTTGGTGTCGGAAGGAAATGCTCGTCATGGCTAACTGACATGGCTACCTGACATGCTAATTGATTTTCTTAGGGGCCCAAACGGGACTTCCTTGCATTCACGCATCATCTGTGTTCGTGCAACTGGCAAAGCAGCACCTTTTGACATCGTTACTCGATCCATATCCACATAATGTATAGCGTATTCGCATGATCTTAAAATGACAGGCACAAGGTCGGCAGTGGACGGCGATCAACGTCAGGCAGCTGTCCCTCTAAGTGATGCTATATGGCTTAATTTAAAAGTCAGACGCAGATCGCAGCTAACTGCTCATAAATTTGCGCAGCAAAGAAAAAAAAAAGAGGAGACACTTGATATTTAATTTGTGGCAAGTGAACGAACTTTGGTGGGTTTTTCCTTGTGCGAAATACCAAAATTTCAACTTTCAAAAAGCCCGAACCACTAATTTCTTAATTCAGAATTAGAATCGAAACATAAATTATAAACTACAGACTTGTTAATGGGATCATAAAAATTAGTTTGCTTTTGATAAATTAAATTCATTAAATGTAGGGCCATGTATTTGCATTTTCCGCGCATGTTTTTCTGGCAAACAACAATTTAAAAATAAAAGAATTCAAAAGTTGCCCAACGGCCAAAGATCCTTAAACCGGTTCAGCGATTTACGAGCGATGTTTACGAGCAAACAAATGACACAAGTAATTTAAAATCAAACAGATGGACACAAAAAACAAACCACGGAGAGTGTTTTGTAAACTCGTTGCCATATATGCCCGTATACTTATGAATAATCTGCATTTACCTTACCTACAGATCAGTCCAAATTTGGGGCCAAAGCCCGATGCGGCTCTAAGATATGCTCAAGGACGTCAATGGGCGCCGCTGACGGAACTTTAAAACAACTTTCTAATAAAAAAGTCACCTCTGTCATTAAATAATGTTTAATTTAATTTTCTTTCTAAACGTCCGTACCTCCGTCCATCCGTAGCTCAGCTTCGAATCGTGCTCGATTATAAAACCATGAGTTCTGAACACCAGCAAGAACCAGTTCCAAGAAATCCCATTAGCTTACAGAATTTATTTGCTTTAAGCTGCCGAAGGTCGACGGCGTTGGCGTTTCTGTTGTTGTTTCTGTTTCTGCTGCCACTCGTCGTTGTGGTGCAATTGTGGTGCAATTGTGGTGCTTGGCGACTAGCAGGGAGGCGTGGCATATTGGCTTGTTGGAGCGTGTGTGTGCACTTATTATTTCTATTCAATTTTCCATGTGTAATTTGTTACAAATTATGGTGCAACTTGTTCTTGACTCTTGTTGCTGGTTGTGCTGGCTTGGTGGTGCGAAGTGGCTGGTGGCTGGTGGCGGTGGCGATGGCGGTGTCGGTGGACTGTAGTTCAAAAGGTACACCGCAGTCTTGTAGGTGTCTGCACGTTGGACGGCCTTTGCTTTTGGCTCTGCGTAATTCATTGTAATTAAAGGTGATTGTGAAGCGGATCTTTTGTTTTACATAAAGGTCTATTATGGCGAAGCACGCGTCTTAATAAGGCATAGGGTCTAATTACTGGCATTCAGCGACACGAAAAAAGCAAACGGAACTAACGTTTAAAACGCACGACAAGTAAAGGCATACGACATTATAAATAAACGATTGTAGGAAGATGACAAATATATACAAGCTGGATCGTTGAATTGCTTCTAGTGTTTGGCGTATACTCCTATTAAGCATTTAATTATTATTAAGAATTTATATTCGTCTGTAACAGGGCTTATTGTGGTGAGCCACAATGTTAAATTCATTATTTTAAGGCCATATAGTCTACTACTTCAAAAGCAAGTAATTGTTTTAGATCATTATAATTTACGATCAACATTTGCAGCCTACGAGTCCTTAAACATTTTGGGTACAACAAAAACATTCTTGGTATGCAACTGAACTCCAATATCTTTGTAAACAACAGCCATGGGTATTACAAACTTAAACATCAATAACAATACATTAATATTATACCCCAAACATCATACCCCCAAAATGCTTACTAAACGATGTTGCATCCCTTACTTTTTTTAAGTAACGATAGGTTAAAGAGTAATAATTATGATTGGTTCAGCTCGACGATAATGAGATACGACTACAATTTTTGCCTTGAGTAAATATTTTCAAACAGCTATGACTTGCAACTCGATTCAAAAATATACTTAATTATTTTCGAAAAAGGCAGATGAATTGCGAACACATAGGCGGGCTTTAAGGTTCCTTTTTACTTATATTATTTCATTTGTTCAATATTTAAAATATACAAATATTTTTCATGTCCATCAGTTAATCAGTTTCCAATGTAAATATGTTCAAAAATGTTATACAACAAAAATAAACAGTTTTTTTTCAAAACAGCAACCCATAGCCTAGTGTCCATCAAATAGAAAAATATGAAAAGCTTTAATTAAATTAAAAATAACTAAAAAAAAAAGTACTAATAAGCTTAATATTTAGAAGTGATTTTTTATACATACTTTTCTTCTAATAACCATTAATATGCGAGAAAATATTATATTTCATTAAAAAAAAATTAGACAATTTAAAAAGTAAGCATTTGGAAGTTGTGTGACAAATGATGAAGCTACTACATATAACCATAACTATTTTTATATCCCAAACTGACTGAGTTTGCTGACATTACAATTGATTTATAAAGAAATCATTGTAGCACAAGAATATCAAGAACAATGACAGACTACTCTTCTACAAAAACTATTGTACAGATGCTAATTTGGAGCACATTCTTTTTTAAATATTCCCTAGAC